CGAAGGCGGTTGATCGGTGTGCATGGCGCGATCTAATCACGAAGGCAGTTGCCGAAGTGCGGGAGAAAGCCCTCATGCATGCAGAGAAGAAGCGGCAATTGCGGAAGCGTTAAGCACCGATTTGTTGTACTCCATCGACTTTAAGCGCATGGTGCTGCGGTCGCGAGTGCCTTAGTCAGGCAGGCTTAGTGAGCCATGAGCGAGGCCACTCGGGACTACTACCGAAGCGACGACGGGTTCTGCAGAGAACGTAAGCAGAACCGGCGCAGCGTTTGTAGGTACGCTGCATTCGTTTCAGTAACCGCGTGCTTGCATGCTAAGTCTCTTTATTTCAGGTGGTGGGTTTTCAATTTTGCCTTAATGCTTTTCTTTCTCATATAAATGTCTACCTGTACTCTATTCCATTAACTTGCACACCTCGCTTAAGCCAATTGTATTCGATTTCCATAACATTTTTGTGTTCATGGGGTTTCCGTATAGTATACTTTCTCACCTCATGAACTTATCTCGGATCCTTTGTAAACAACTTATTTACTTATTAATTTTAAATTTTGGTCGCGTTTCCTTATGCATTACTCAATTAATTTTCTATGTTATCTTTCTCTCAAGTTATTCCTTGTTATCTTCGATATGGTTGCCCTTGATGTGCATGGTGACAAGGTGCCTACCTGTCTATTACCCACTACCTCCTCCATACTGGCTCTAGGAGACAGTTGGTCGTTGCTGGAGGGGACAGGGTGCACTGTCCTTGTGGCCGTGTTAAGATCAAAGTGTGGCTCCATGCACTTATTGCGGAGCGGACTACGGTCCAGCCACCGCCTTGTGTGCGGTTGATTCCCCAAATACAGCGTGCTTGTGTTTGCTATGAACCAGTGTGGGCCGGCTCGGTTGATGAAACGCGGCTCCCATCCACAGGCCTCCCGGTCTTATTCCTTCGCGTTTACACTGGTTATTAGGTGGGTGGTTGGAGCTGTGGGTGGTGCAGCGCAAACCACCCATGGTCCCTCTGTAGGCGCAGGCGTCCTGTGGCTTGCCACAGTGACAGGCAAATCCGAAACCGGATGCCGCCAACCATTTATATATATATATATATATATATATATATATATATATATATATATATATATATATATATATATATATATATATATTCTGATGGAGCAGAGGCGAGTGTCCACCGGTTGAGCGCCGATGAAGTAACTGCGTTTGAGCGCTCAGGGTAAAAGCAGTCCGTTTCGGTGTATCCTGTTCATGTTTTCCGTGGACTTCAAATCGCAGCGTGAGAGTATTTCTAAGTCCTTCACGGCAATTGTGGTATGTAGTAGCTGGTCGTCAAGGATGTATGTTCAGTCGTCACCAGCCTTGTCTAGGTTTATGAAAACTATGGACTTGAATTGTTTGACCGGATGGCGGACATCTGCACATCGCATGGAGGGCGACTGAGGTCTTAGTGAAATAGTTCGTTGTCATCGGAAGTGCAAATCATTCTACAGTTTTAGGTCGAGGCACGGTTGCCGAAGCAGCTGAGGTAGATGGTTGCTATAGATTAGGAGCAATGTAAGCCCCAATACGGCTCGTTAGGATTTGCCACTTGTAGCGGAATACTAGTCGGTTAGATGGCTGTCCACTTTCGTCCACTGGTGCATTGAGCCACCGAAACCGCACACTCAGCCTGTGGAGGAGGACCTGATGGTTCACTTTGTGTAACGCATTAGTGAGATCGATGTTGGTTACATTGACCTACTTCCTCTGGTTCACTGTCTGTAACCATTCACGCCTCGTCACGAGCAGGGTGATAATGCATGAGCGATGTAACGTGAACCGATGCTGTGCATGTGTCAAGAGCTTTTTCGACCGGGACAGTTGTAGTAAACTCTTGTTCGCAATCTTCTCGGCTTCCTTGGCCGAAGTAAGTGTCAAACAACTGTTCTGACATTGTCTGCTTTGTTTGGGTTTCGACTTTTCGGAATCGGCTGTACCATGGAGCATTTCTGGTTAATTGGTAACGATACTTCGGGCAGCGACGTGTTGACCAGGTGAGTCACTACAGGCGAGATGATGGTCGATAGGAACTTGAGAATTATTTGATGGAGCCTGTCAAGTCTAGCAGGCTTGATGCCGTCATGGTTGTCGAGTAGTCGACGCACCTCTTGAACACTGCAATCCAGACTGTGGAGTTCGGTAAGCGCGGTACACGAGGGAGCATTGCCGACACGTGGTCATTTGCAGACACGGAAGCAAAGTGCGCGGCCAACGCGGACGCACACTCATTTCTGTCCGTCCGAATTCTCTGTCATTGGGAGGTCAAATGCCGGTTTTAGGCGCCGCTTTATGTGAACAAAAACTGGTGTGGATGCGTTAAGTGTGCATAGTAATTGCGTGTGCCTGCGACTTCTGATGCAGGTCCGAGAAACTTGTTGCAGGGCGACATCGAGAATATCTGTTTTTTATGATCTGTTCTTCGCCGAGGGATCTGGCGACCGTTAGGTGATTCCTTGAAACAGGTGTGATCCACGCGGGCGAGATGTGTGTGTTGACAGTTGTTTGGCTTGTTGCGAGAGTGGGGATTGATGAGATTCTTTGTGTTGTTAGTGCGATGGCACAGCGTGGTAGGGGTTATTTTGCTGTCGGGTGTCGGATCCTTATGGCACTCACTCGGTGATCATCGGGTAGCATGGGAGCAGGGATTGATCGCCGTGCTTGTTGCTGGTGGTGGGTTGTTGTCGAATATCAGTTCGGAGTGTTGAGAATGCGTGTGATGGGTTGGGTATCGCGAGCTTTTGTTGCTGACGGTTGTTGATTTCAGCCTGTCTGGAGAGTACAATGTGTTGTGTTGTGTTGTTGATTTGATCGTCTGACAGATGATGGTGTTGTTGTTGGTTGTTTGCGTATGCGCGCCCGTCGTATTGGATTGGCCGTGGGCGTACCTTCGGTTGTTCCTTGTATTCGGGCCACAAAGACTCGCGTGTACAATCTGCATTTGCTGTGCTTGTAGCCTGCGATGCGTGAACCAGCATGCGACAGTGTGTGTTGTGGTTCTCGACGTTTGAGTGTGTTGTGTATTGGTTTTCTTGACGCGTGTATTGTTTCGCTGTGTGTTGGCGTGGTACGGTCTGGTGTGTGTGTGTGTGTGTACTTGGTTTGTCTGGTCGATTGGATGCTCATGTTGTCGCACCGGAGTCAGCTGTAACACTTGGTGTTACAGCGTTACAGGCGTGCGAGAGTGAGTTGCGGCGATGTGGTTGGTATGCCAAGTTGTTGGTGCACTTGCTGCGTATCGGCCGCGCACACGTGCAATGTGCTTTAGTGTGTTGTCTGTTTGTATGTTTCGAATGTGTGATATGTCAGTGCGCCATGGTGTTGATTGGTTGTTGTGTGTGTTTTGCGTTGTGTGTATTCGTGTGGGTGGCATTAGCTTCTATGCGTCGCTCTGTTTGATTGTGACTTGTGTTGGTGGGCTGGAGAACTATGTGTGTGAAAGGGAATTGTCATGTGTGCTGCGTGTATTGTGCAGAAGTGTACTGAGGTGTTGATGTGATTGGGAGTGGTGGAATTGAATGTGCGGGGTTTATGGTGTTGATCTCGAAGGATTGTAGTATGTGTATATGAGTACTGTATCCTTTATTAAGAGAGCGAGTAGGAGTGTTATTCTACAACTCTATCGAAAAACGCTGAGAAACGTTGGAATAAGGACAAATAGTAACTTTGACTCGTGAATACATCGTTTTTGTAGTTTTCGTGTGGCATCGTTAGAAAAGTCTAACTCGCAACAAGTTAGGATTGGCAGATGCGAGATATCATTGTCAGTGGGTAATCGTTCTCTGGATGTGACACTCATCATCATCATCATCATCATCATGAACAGCAGTACATCAGCCATTTGAACTGATGCTTCTCTGACATATAACCACGAGGGCCTGTGAAATAAAGAATAATAAGAGGGAGAGAAGGGGGACTTACCTGAAAACCTTAACGCCCTCAGCAGACTTTCAGGGTCAGGGGCGCTCACACATTGTGTAGGCAACATACCGTCACAAACAGCTAGCCATCGTGCAAGAAAAGCTGTTTAGGTACTTGGAGTTCCCGACGACTTTTACTGATCACCAAGAACCAGTGCACTTTTGCGTCCCTGCCACTCGTCGAATTCCATTGTGCATTGACTAGCCAGAAACTACAGTCATCCGGCGCTGGTCTCTCTAGTGCTGCTTGGCACGTCACTTGTCGGAGCCGTCACAAGTTGCGGCAATGTCAATGGGCCTAACCTAAGTTAAGTAAATGCTCTGGGTAAATTAAATTTAAAACTTGTTCATGCGATTACATGTCTTTTCTGGCTGAGACAGTGAGATCAACTGTTCGAATAGTTCTTCTTACTCGGCACGATCGCGACTCTGCTAACACTCTCATTCTTGCTTTTTTCCCTACCTTTTATCCCTTGAATCTATTGAGCCCACCTTTTTCTTTCTTTTTCATTGAACCCCTAGGGTTGTTCGTTTGGGTTCGCTTTTATTCTCCGCAATTATTAGGTATTTGGCTTATTGCGGCCTGAACCATTGTAACTGAACTCTTAGTGTCCTGGAGTTCGAATAGTCGTTGCCTAGCTTAATCATACTCCCTGTCCATATGTTAGTATCACTCGGTGGCCGTGATTCTTCGTATCAAGATATTACGTCGATGTGGAGCGTCGCTCTCATTACAGCTTTTACCTCCACTAAACTACTTGTATCGAGGCACAAGCTATTGCCATAGTTATTTGTGTCTTTATTACACTTTATCTCACATGTTCTTCGCATACTTTTCATTCTCTGTGTTGACCGGGAGTTTGGGTACTTCGTCAATAGCTTATCGCCGCTTTCTCCGATTACTCCCTTTCAAGGCTATGGAATCAGAAGTGCTACTCTTGTTACTTCACATTATCACCTACGCAAGCCATACCATCTCTCTACTGTTGTATAGAACACTACGGTTTGTTCATTTTGTGTCTTTGTTCAATTCCGCAACAGGTTCATTTTCTTGTCATCGATACTGATCAGGAAGACCACGATCGCATCTTGTCATTCTTCGGAATGACAAAAGATGAGGTTCCTGCGTACCGCCTAATCAACCTATCAGATGACATGACCAAATATCAGCCTGATGATTCCAGTTTCACAAATGATGCCATGACCAAGTTCATCGATGAGGTGTTGACTGGCGTTAGGAAGCCGTTCTTAATGAGCCAAGAAATCCCGCCGAAATCCGACTCCTCTGTTCTGGAACTCGTCGGCAAAAATTACAACGAAGTCGTAAAGAATGAAAGTGTTGCTGTATTCGTCAAACTATGTAAGCTCTTTTTGCGCATCTGTAACGTCAAATGCTCATCGTCACTTCTTCCACCTTGGTCTCACGACGTTTTATCACCGGGTAATTTATCAATTCACTGTAACATTTGTCCTTTTGATGTTGTAACTGGACTGGCACTGTACTACTGATTCCTTGCGCACCTCCGAATCCATCCGGTCCTATTGGCTAATGACTTGCTATGTACGCTAGTATCTAGTTTGTCAGTCCGATTTATTTTTACTCACTTAAAAGCGTTACCCTCAGAGGTATCAGGAAGAGCCGTTCAGGTGGACGTATGTTACGAGCGAGCGAACTATCAACCCTGCACTCTACGACCGTTTTCGTACCTGCTTGCATTTATCAGGCAGAGATATCATGACAGCGACTCGAACCCGGGACGTTTCGCATCTCATCCGAAACGTATATCCTTTGGCCGCCTAGTCGCGACAGGGAACGCTTGTCACAACTGTTACGGATTGATTTGAGGGTCATTTTAAAACCTATGAATGCATTGTGACTTACAATCTCAGCCAGGATCATGATTGACTTGAAGCGAATTTCAATCTATTCGATCACTATGATCATAAATGAATCAAATGAATATTACATGTTGCTCACTCGAAGGCTTTTCGATTACGATTCGAATACTTTCGCAGGTCTACTTGACGATCTCACTGCTTCCCACTTCTCAATTTCTAATCTTCTGATTCGCCTACTCAGTGTCTTGTGTTCCTAACAACTCCAGCTATCAACCTCTGACTTGATTTTGTTACCTCTCACACATTAGTGATTGCAGGCTCTCTTTTTAACCCTCTTATGATGTAGAAGTAAATGTTGGTAGCTCAGGTTATTCATTTTTAGACGAATTGTCTGCTGAATTTGGCAATTTTGCCGCAAGAAGATAGCTACAGGGGACAGAACTCCAGTGATGTTTCAGCTATTGTCAATTATATCGGGAATTACTGAAGGGTCCGAAGAAACAGGTAGAAAATAACCAAGGGAACAGTAGTAGCATGGTTTCGCTTCTCCACCCTACTGTATGCGGCTGATGAGGCGACCATTCTAAAGCTGCGTGACGGCTGATGCAGGAGGTGGTTAGAATTTGATAAAATAGCCATTATTGTACGTGGGCTGATTTTGCCAGAGCGCCCAAACATGGACTTTAGAACTGTTAGGGTCCTCAGTCAAAGTCATTAACACAAAAGCCTGTCCGCAAGTCAGCGAGGATGGCAGCGATCCGGTTTTACATAACTGGACGCCATCCCAATCCCAACCCCCACCTGGAAAACCTAGAGACTGGGTTTGTCCGAATCTGGCGAAAGCACCTGTCAAGATCCCGCAAACACCCCTTTATAGCTCAATGAATCGAAGAGTTACCTTAACCGTCGCACCACTTTAAGATCTACCCTTGTTACTACGGGGCATTCTGCTTCTCTGGGACACTGTTCTTGAACAGGTAACACCATAAAGCCGCTCGATCACCCTAGTTAACTGTAGTCCGGATGTCTACGGATGCGATGGTGTCTTTTGTGTTCTGGAGTTGGTTGGATGTATCTTTTTTATCCGTGCACCCGCCTGTCCAACCAGCCTGTTCTTCACGGTAGCATGGCTCGTAAAACCCATTGTCAGGGGGTACTCGTTCTCGGAATCTAGCACTAGAGAAATGTACAGCCACCAATGTTTTGAAACTGCTTCTCTGGTAAATTCTTAAAAACATTGACACAGGTGATAGAGAACTCACTTCAGATCTGCAACCACAAGCTTGTACTAGTGTCCGCTTGAGACCGCTCTCCTGGGAATTGACGCACGAAGTGCTAGCGCCTTTCTCGCTGTCATTCCCAATGCCTGTTAACTCGTTGCCCCAACCCAAAATCTGTGCTCTTGCTCTCAATCCAAATCCTGTGTCCTATGTCATCTCTGTTCTTTGTTCACTTGCACTTTGAGAATTTTTTCACCACATTGAATCGCTCACATGTTGATCCCGTTTCAACTTGTGGGCATGTTCGTTCTCGCTTCACCTGGTGCCACTCGTGTTCTAGGTGCTCTGGACATTGATTTTAGCCCGTGTTCGTTACATTAACACGCCATGAGCGTGACTCATGTCACCACGCGTTGTCGTCGCCCTTACCTTGCTGGAACGTCAGTGTGGGTGGTCATCATGTGAAACTTTTCGTTGGTACGCTTCATTGTGCTTTTTCCCCATCCTTCATACACCATTGAACCATTACAATGCCAGATCGTCACTATATAGCACGCGAACTCCAACGCCTGCGACTGCATAGCATTCTTTTGATTGGTAGATTACCTTCATTCATCGTGCAGTAAAATCCGCTACCTATTGAAATGGCGCTAGTTCGTACCTTCGGGGGAATTGATGCTATATCTGTTAGCTATTTTGAGTGAATAGATGTTGTTAATACATACTTGTGCTGGAAGCGCAGATTGTTGGGGTATTATGTATTTGGGTTCGCCAATTGTTTATAAATAATACCGTTATCCAGTTTCTGCTTTGTTGTTTTTGCTTCCGTTGTGCGTTGTGCCGAGTACAGTTTCGTTCTCCATTATGTTGAATTGGCGTAGAGCTTTCAGGCTCCCCAAGCCGGGTTAAGAAGTTGGCTTATGTCTTGAAGTTCCGATTTACAAAGCAGCAGTGCAATAAGGTATTTCGCGAAACTAATCCACATTCCTATTTCTATTGAAGTTCCCAGGACTCTTTTAAAGCAGCACATAAGCTGCAATAAGTATCCCGAGTCACAAAATTCTCCCCTATACCTATAACCCGTTTATTACCGACTGGACTGTACATCTCCCTTGTGTTTGATTGACGAGCTCAGAATACCCTCGCAACTGATCGTGGAACTAGAAAGTACTAAACTTAGACCCGTTTTTCGAAATAACCATGGTGTTCGCAGAGAGACTAAATCAATTGCTTATCTCAGCCTTGTTCTGAGCACAAAGTATCCCTCTCAGTGTTAATGGCACCAATGCGCCAACTGGTGACTCAGCCAGCCACTCATACACACAGAATGATCACGTCGCAGCCAAGTACACCAGTCGCTTGTTGTCCATCCAACCTTGATCGACATGATTTCTCACGTAGTTTTAGATATTTCGAAACTTGGGACTAGTTTCACGAATCTACAATACCTTTTTACTATAAGCTTCCTTTTACTCTTAAAAGTCGTGCACTTTAGCACGCTCACTTTCAGCTTGGGTATTTCAGTATCTTTCGGGTCATCATCATCAACAAACCATAGCGGAGCGTTAGCAACACGCCTCAGCTAATGTGTTGCGATAAAAAATGATGATATATCAATAATCACAAACTGCAGAAACCAATAAAAAACTGGTAAAATTACGTCAACTATTATATTATCAAGCATCAGGAATGAGACCGTGGCTGGAGTAGCAACTAAAGTGGAGTAGGAGGGACGCAGAAACTCACAACGCTATTGTGGTCGGCTCTTCGCCGTGTCAACAAGTTTGTCCAACCAAAAGTGTTCGTCGTCCTTCGGATCCCAGCCAGGCAGTCAGGACACTCCAACCAAAGCCAAGTTCGAAGTGATGGTCTTCATTCCTCTTGACTAAGTCATTGCTTGGCTACGTCAAGCTTCCTCCATCCACACCGCCAGCACGCAAACAGCGCAAGACGTGGGACTCGGTGTGCTGGTATGCGCAAAACGTGCCCCACCCATCGTAACCTGGTGCGTGGTATAAATAAATAAATATTTGTTCTCGACAAAGCGAGATATGCCTTCCTGTACCAATTACACGACGCCGAACGCACTCACTGCTCACGCGGTGTTCCCACCAGACATAAGCTAAGTTGCGAAGGCAACGATAGTCAAACGTAGCCAGCCTGTTTATGTCTGTCGACCTGGTAGGCCAAGTTTCGCAACCATAACAGAGGGTTGAACGGACGGCCACATTGTAAAATCTGCCTCTCAAAGCGAGAGTGATGTCGCGCCGGCGCCACAGGTGGCGTAGTTTGGCAAAAGCACCTCGAGCTTTTGCGATGCGGTTTGTGATATCATCTTCAATTTCTCTGGCGCTGATTAGCTGTTTAGATACTTGAAGTTCTCTACGACTTTTACTGATCACCAAGAATCAGTGCAAAGGTGCGTCCCTGCCAATCATCGAATTCCGGGGTGCATTGACTAGCCAGCAACTACTGGCATCCAGCGCTGATCTCTCTAGGGCTGCTTAGCACGTTACTTGTCGATGCCGTCACAAATTACGACAACGTCAATCGGCATACCCTAAGTCAAGAGATCGCTCACCTGGATGCAACTTCGCACCTTGTAGATGTTGTGCAGCAAACGCCGTTTCCACGACTTCGTCATTGGCGAAGTTAAAGAGGCAAGGTGACATCGGGCAATCTTATCTCACACTGCTGAAGATATTAAGGGCGGCGACAGTTTATGGCAAACCCAGACTTTGTCCGAACTATACGCGTAAATCGCTCTGATGATCTCTACATATATATCGGGCACACATTTCCTGAATAGACAGTCCCTAGGACCATATCGATCCACTGAATCGAAGACATTTAATGTCGAGAAACACAACTACGGTGGGTCGCCCAGGGAACAGAACGATCATTAGCCGATGAAGACCCTAGTAATTATTGCTGACTATGCTGCTTTTCAAATTGTTCGGCCCAATGTCCCAAACGTTTTGACATACTGGATTAGCAGTCCATCCTCCTGGCATATGGTCTCGCTAACATCAGGTCTCCTATCCGTTTCGCGTATCAATCGGAATAACTTTCGGTGCTTAACAACAGCAGCGGCCGTTTCCATCTCCGACGTACGCTGCAATGGCTAGGTTTCGCGGTCTCTCTTCAGGCCAGCACTCAGTTTCGCTCTGAGGTCTTACGATTCTCGTTGTGTTCGCTTCCAGCCGGAACATGTCGACAAGTATCCAGAACTTATGGAGACTGCTTTGAAACTTAATGTCTAGGTTGGCATTTTGATTTGCCACATGAAACTGAGACTGTA